ATACATACATACATACATACATACATACATACATACATACATACATATCTGGATTCATAAAATACAATTTTTCATTTTCCAAGATAGGCTTCTAATTAATATTGTGTTCAGGATGATAACTATCTTCATAAAACACCTTACAAACTTGGAATTATACAGCTAAGTAGTAATTAGGCACAAAAATGGTCCATGTATGACTATTACCGCACACGTGCACACTGATAGTGCAAGACTTTGTCAGAGGAACACTTGTAAATGCTATGCAAGAAACCAGTGAATATCAAGCAATGTGCAATACAGTCAAAATTAGCCAGCCAGGATTGTTTCTTTACTGAATATATACATGAAGCTCACACATATACTGCTATTTTTACTGCACCTTAAACACTTGAAGCTCTTCCAAAACCACTTCTTCAACAGCAGCAAAATTTCCTCTTTGTAGGGCTATCACCTTCAATATGGTGCCAGCATCTAAAAGGGAGGAAGGAAAGAAAGCCCACTGAAACAAGGCCATCCCTGGGGTCACCTAAAATCCTGGCAAAGCTCATTGGGAACTTTTTCAAAAGCTGCTCTTGACAGCAAGTAGCCTAGAATGTGACTCCTAGTTTTATACTATGAGATATACTACACTACTAATATGTGATTTTAGATCTCTGCATCCCTGAATCATCTTTATTCTTTTACATTTAAAAGCTATTGGGGAAATGCTAATTTAAAAAAAAATCAATGCTCAACTTTCCACCTTAAAAAAACTAAATGGTAATTTCACCATTTTTTTTGTCATTCTCTAACCTTGACTTGGAAAACATTTCTTGTAGTTTGCTAAGCTATTGTTTTTCTCACTGTTGAATGGAGACTACATTTTGAAATACAGCAAACAAAAGGACACAATTTCTAAGAAAGGAGCCTTAATGGCAGACAAATTTGAACATCCCTTCCACACAACACTGTAATTGGAGATTCCCTGAAGAAGTATTTTCCTTGAAGAAAACACATGTATGACTCACTCAAATCCATCCATCTCCTTCACCCTTTCTATCCTCCTGAATAAGTAAAAGCTGAAAATATTCTATTTTGCTGGTATAGGGCAAACTTCCTGTTGTGCCAAAAGATGCCAGATCATTCAGACAGCCCCATGGTGGTCACAACGTAGTTCTAACTGATTCACAAATTGGTCCAAATGGCTCACTTCTATTCTGAATTCAGCTGAGCATGATGCACAGGCCTTGTTTCAATGCATAGCAAAGTTGGGCTTGTCCATTCATCAGTATTTTACCCAAGACCCCTTTTCAATGTCAGGTTGTAGTCTGAAGTTTTGAAAATTCAGGAAATTATCTTCAAACTCACAAATTCTTCTACATAATGACAAGCAACTCCATATACTGTATCTGCAGTTTGGAAGAGAGATGTTCAGGTACTGCTGAACCCCAGTACCTGTGCCAATGAACATGACATCGTAATGCCCATCCTCAGCTTCCACACGATCCACCACTAACTGCCTCAGGCGATGATGCAGGTTGGTTTTCACCAGCACAGGCCGCCGTTGTAGTGGATACACAGATTTGCTCATCAGGGGGTGAGCACGTGCAAATTGCAGTACCTCATCTGGGTAGTCTTTGGTCGAGGAGTACTGACGACTTGGCTGGTTGGTTGTTTTGCTAGGGCACTAGGAAACAGGAAATAATTTTAGCAAATAGCTCTGTTCTTACTATTTATCGGGAATCAAAGCCAACTCTTTCCCCCATTTCATTTTTTTTCCTTGATTCTTCCCATGCTTGCAAAATTTATTCCAGAAGTTGAGAAACTTTTTTTGTTGTCATTTCCACTGATGTGAATAGTTCTGGCAGCTTTAGATAATCACACAAAACATTATTTTGCATGTTATTTTTTAATTTCTTTGTTTTATGGCAAATTGCTCTTCCTATACATTGTTCTTTTCTTGTCCCCCCCCCCCCCCCCAGGAAAATCATCACCTTCATTCTTATACTTACAACTCCTGGCCTTGGGTAAGGCACCTTGCCCTCATAAGCTGCCCACTGATGATCAGGACCATCTTTATGAGCAAATGGTCCATTAAAAACCTCCCAGATGTCTGCCATACGATAGACACAGATGGCGAAGCCTTGGAAGACATTGCTGTAATGAGAAAAAATTACCCAAATATTGCTTGTAACACAAGATTTAAATGTCACTGAGATTTACTTGTTATCTCTCTAGGCTGCAATTCAGAAAGAAAGAAAAATGCTTTTAAGTAAATAAATGCCTAGAAGGTTACACTTTTTGGGGGGTGGGGGGTGGGGAATAATTCATACTGTATGAATCCTAGTGAAGTTGACTGAAGAAGAATTGGCGAAAAAGCAAACTATATTGGGTATACAAAAAATTATAAACCCATTATAAAGGGCATTTTTAAAAGATTCGCTGTTAAAAGTAACTACAGACAGAACTACAAACCACAGATAGAAACATCTCACCTGATGGTGCTAAACAGTGCATAGACTTCAGGATTCTTGCCATCTTTGGCCCTCAGAAGAAAGATGTCCTCTGTTGAAAAGTGGATGATCGAATGAGTTCTGTAACTGTTGTGTCAATGTACTTACTCTACACAAACATATTTCTAAGTGTTTTTTTTCTTCTAATGACTGGCTCAGGAATTCTGGGGGTTGAAGTCTACAAGTCATAAAAGGGGCAGAGTTCCCCATCCCTGGCCTAGAAGATATTTGTGCTATCCATTTTGTTTCACTGCTGCTAACTCCTGTTACACTACCACTGCCTAATCTAAAATAAAATTGCATGGCGCCACACTCTAGCATAGGAACACAACCTTTTTCTGAAGTGAAGGTTGTCCTAGCTAGCCTGTGGGTGCTGTGCTGGAGAAGAGAAGAGGCCCATTCCAAAATTTGGGAAGCTGAGCCGAGTCAGAATAAGACTACAACTGATTTCATTTGTATGTAATTAAACATCATCAATATGATTACTCTTCATCCATGCATTTAATAATTTCTCCTTTCTCTTATACCAAAAATTGTATTTTTTTCTTTGGAGGTTGCAGACAAATTGGGGTGGGGGGGGTGCTACATAAGACCAGGGAATCTCAGATTATGAGTTCCTAACATAAGGATGCATCATTGACTTTAAACTCCCAGTGGTTTTTGATTAAGCTCTGATCAAATCTCCACTGGCTTAGTTTTAGGATTAGTATAGCATTAAATGTCCCTGGTCATTCCTTTGGTTCCACTTTCCCCATACTGTAAATTCCTAATCCTCTACAAACCAACCAACTGTGATTATGGAATATAAATCACACCCAGTTCATCAAAGTGTGTGTCAATGCCATCTGGTCCTGGAACAGAACACACAAGACGAGCTTTGTTGAAAGTGCTCCATTTGTTGACCAGCACTCGTTGTCCACCAACATCATTCTGGAAGAAGAAAAATAAATAATGTTCAGGAGTGAAAGCCACTGACATAATGGCACATAACTGTTTTTGAACCTTTTGAATTTGTAATATTTCAGCATAAAGATGAGTTAAAACATGATCTTTCTCCACACAAGTCCTGAAACAAGATCCTGAGGAGCTAGTTGAACAAACAAAAACATTACATTTGCTTATTATTTTACTCATTGAGAGAAATGACTCAAGGGTAGTCTTAAAGGTGCTCTTTTTTTCCAAAAGGCAATAGGACTATAATTCCTTGAGGAAGAAGAATAAGATGTTTCGCTTCTCCTCCAAGAAGCTTCATTGGTTCTGGCAGGATGGTGGGAGTATGTGTGCAAAGATAATATTTATTTGCAATCATCTGGTTGTTAGCATTTTCCCTGAGAGCTCTTGAGGCCACTTGGAGGTTTGATAGGCCCTATCTAACAAAATGAAATTCAATGTAGAGAAAAGTAAAGTCTTACACTTAGGCAAGAAAAACCAAAAATACACATATACACTGGGTGAAACCAGGCTCAATAGCAGTAACTGTGAGAGGAATCTTGGAGTTTTAGTGGACAACCAATTAAATATGAGCCAGCAGTATGTGACAGCAGCCAGAAAAGCCAATGCAATCCTAAATTACATTAACGGAGGGATACAATCAAGATCAAGGGAGGTACTAATACACCTCTATAAAGCTTTAGTAAGACTACACCTAGAGTACTACATCCAGTTTTGGTCACCACACTATTAAAAAGATGTTGAGACTTTAGAAAGAGTGCAGAAAAGAGCAACCAAGATGATTAGGGGACCAGAGGCTAAAACATACAATGAAGAGTTGCAGGAACTGAGCATGGCTAGTTAGTGAAGAGAAGGACCGGGGGACAATGATGGCAGTGTTCCAATATTTGAGGGGCTGCCACAGAGAGGAGGGGAGAGGGGTCAAGCTATTTTGCAAAGCAGCTGAAGGCCAGACAAGGAATAATGGATGGAAACTGAACAAGGAGAGATTCAATCTGGAAATAAGGAGAATTTTTCTGACAGTGAGAGCAATCAACCAATGGAACAGCTATAAACTACACTGCTCAAAAAAATAAAGGGAACACAAAAATAAGATATCCTAGATCTGAATGAATGAAATATTCTTATTAAATACATTGTTCATTACATAGTTGAATGTGCTGACAACAAAATCACACAAAAATTATCAATGGAAATCAAATTTAGCAACACATGGAGGACTGGATTTGGAGTTACACTCAAAATTAAAGTGGAAAAAAACACTACAGGCTGATCCAACTTTGATGTAATGTCCTTAAAACAAGTCAAAATGAGGCTCAGTAGTGTGTGTGGCCTCCATATGCCTGTATGACCTCCCTACAATGCCTGGGCATGCTCTTGATGAGGTGGCGGATGGTCTCCTGAGGGATCTCCTCCCACACCTGGACTAAAGCATCCCCCAACTCCTGGACAGTCTGTGGTACAACGTGGCATTGGTGGATGGAGCGAGACATGATGTCCCAGATGTGCTCAATTGGATTCAGATCTGGGGAACGGGCGGGCCAGTCCATAGCATCAATGCCTTCATCTTGTAGGAACTGCTGACACACTCCAGCCACATGAGGTCTAGCATTGTCTTGCATTAGGAGGAACCCAGGGCCAACCGCACCAGCATATGGTCTCACAAGGGGTCTGAGGATCTCATCTCGGTACCTAATGGCAGTCAGACTACCTCTGGCGAGCACATGGAGGGCTGTACAGCCCCCTAAAGAAATGCCACCCCACACCATTACTGACCCACTGCCAAACTGGTCATGCTGGAGGATGTTGCAGGCATCAGAACGTTCTCCACGGCGTCTCCAGACCCTGTCATGTCTGTCACATGTGCTCAGTGTGAATCTGCTTTCATCTGTGAAGAGCACAGGGTGCCAGTGGCGAATTTGCCAATCTTGGTGTTCTCTGGCAAATGCCAAATGTCCTGCACGGTGTTGGGCTGTAAGCACAACCCCCACCTGTGGACATCGGGCCCTCATACCACCCTCATGGTGTCTGTTTCTGACCATTTGAGCAGCCACATGCACATTTGTGGCCCGCTGGAGGTCATTTTGAAGGGCTCTGGCAGTGCTCCTCCTGTCCCTCCTTGCACAAAGGCAGAGATAGCAGTCCTGATGCTGGGTTGTTGCCTTCCTACGGCCTCCTCCACATCTCCTGATGTACTGGCCTGTCTCCTGGTAGCGCCTCCATGCTCTGGACACTACGCTGACAGACACAGCAAACCTTCTTGCCATAGCTCGCATTGATGTGCCATCCTAGATGAGCTGCACTACCTGAGCCACTTGTGTGGGTTGTAGACTCCGTCTCATGCTACCACTAGAGTGAAAGCACCACCAGCATTCAAAAGTGACCAAACCATCAGCCAGAAAGCATAGGAACCGAGAAGTGGTCTGTGGTCACCACTTGCAGAACCGCTCCTTTATTGGGGATGTCTTGCTAACTGCCTATGCTTTCAACCTGTTGTCTATTCCATTTGCACAACAACATGTGAAATTGATTGTCAATCAGTGTTGCTACCTAAGTGGACAGTTTGATTTCACAGAAGTGTGATTGACTTGGAGTTATATTGTGTTGTTTAAGTGTCCCCTTTATTTTTTTGAGCAGTGTATATTTAAACTATATTTATTGCCTTCAGAAGTTGTGGGAGCTTCACCACTGGAAGCCTTCAAGAAGAGACTGGACTGCCATCTGTCAAAAATGGTGTAGGATCTGCTCAGGTGGGGGGTTGGACTAGATGACCTACGAGGTCCCTTCCAACTCTGTTAATCTGTATCTAAATCTGTATCTGTTTATCTGTGCCCTCATCATATATAATGTTAAAAGAAAAGGGACACCGATGGCTCATCTAACATTGTAAACCTTAATTCTGCCCATAAGACCTGAGTTTTGATAATGCATTTCTAAACAGAAGTAACTTGTACTAATTCTACATGCAATGTTACTATTAATTATTTTGTTTATAATGAACTGCTCCCTTGAGAAACAGAATAATCCTTTCCCACATACACACTTAAAATGTTATACTCCAAGAAAAACACTGATAAGACTGAAAGTAACAACCAATTTTATCATTTTGGGAAGTTGGTGGCAAGATTTTAAACTATATTTATTTCTCCCCCAAATAAACTTTAGACTTCTGACTAAAATAAATCTCGTTTCACCACAGGAAGCCTAAAGAAGTAACAGTATACATACTAAAATTATTCTTTGCAACTAGAAAATGCAAAGAAAAATACCCCAACATCCCCAGAACCCCAGGAAAAACACAGAAAATTCAGCCTACACATGTAATTTGACCCTACCTACTTTTCATCATTGCCCTACTCAATGTGGTTTTCATTCTCCCTCCCAAATATTACAATACAACCCACAACTAACACATGTCTGTTTTTCTTTGCAATAGAGGAACCAAAACAGACTCCAACTATCTTCCAGCAATTACCAGTGCTACTTTTCAGGTATTATTCTATGACAACTGTTCCTTTTCCTTCACAAAAGCAGCCCTTACAAAATCCAGAAATCCCTCTGGGATTATTGTGGATTAATACTTTCAAGCGACTGCAGCAGTTTAACCCGGCCATTGTGTGCGTGTTTTGACTGCCAAAGAGGCAAAAGGACAAGGCCACAGATTGTCTTAACTAAGCAGGGTACTTACTCCCCCTTCCCTGCCCCTGCGAACTCCGCAAATCAAATTAGATCCCCATCTTGGATGCCTCTTAAACACAAAATCCCTCTTTGTAGAAAGGGTGGTGAATCCAGCAAGTAATTGCTTCATCTCTATGTTTTATTGTTTATTTGTAGGATTAGGACAAGAACAAGTAATTCACAGCCAGCAGAATTAGTCTATTTGCATGGAAATCTGCCATCTCCATTTCTCTAGTCCATTGTAGTACACTGACTTTATGACTTGTTGCAGGGAGTTTGAATTATTGCAGGCAGGCGCCACTAGGATAATTTCCATCTGACAAATACTTCTCCCCAACAGCTCTTTAGGCGGAGAGAGGTGGGGTTTCCCCCCCCCTCCCTCCAATTTTTCAACAGCAGTGATAGAAATTGAACTGAGTCTTGCCCATTAGGCTGGCTCCTAGCTTTGCAGAGGCCAAGTTCCGACTTCTGCTTCACAAATACGGCAAGCCTTTCAGTTGTTATCTATAGATCATGTTTCCAGGTGTGTTTTTAGAATGCAGGGGCTCTGCCTCAAAGGCAAATATTCAGTGGATTGGATGATTTTCTATGTGATACCCTCCCCCATTTTTCACCGTATGTAATATACTTTTCCTTTTCTCCCTTTCTCTTTCTACCTCTCTCTCTTACACACACATATATACACACACAATTAAGAGGGGAAAGATGGTTGACTTCTGTCCATCAACAACAGGCCTGTCAAACTAGCAGCCCACGGGCTGGATATGTCACGCCCAGGCCATGCCCCTCCTGGCTCCGCAAAGACAAAAAAGTCACGATACGTCATGTGACCTGATTGAGTTTGACGCCCGTGATCTACAAGGATTCTCTGGAAAAATGTTCTGGCCCAAGCCTCGTTCAAAGCAAACAAACGCCAAACAGAGATAAAAGCAAAACCTTTTTAATGCTTCTCTGTGAATTCTGTTCATTCACAGTAAAACGCTATTAAAAACTAATTGTCCCAGATAAGAACAAGCCTTGCCAAGATTGTGCAAGGCTGCCAAGAACACTCGATTAAATTGCAAGGAAATAATCAAAACCAAAAGTCTCCAAACACAAACCAGGATAGTCTGAACTTCCACAAGACTTGAAGTGCAAGAACGTCTTTGCTTCCTGCAAAGAATCCCACCTCTGAGAGCTGGCTTTTATCCCTTAAGGGAGAGGTCGTCACCTTGCAGCCTTACTCCTGAGTCACCTGTGCTGCTGCAGCTGCTCTTTCCTTCAATCAGCCCTGCACACACGCGCACTGGGCACAAGCTCCT